GTTCTTAGTCATTTTATCTGGCCACTTTAAGATTTTATGATCTATTTCACGTATCATTTTATATGTTTTTGGCTGGCTGCTCTTCTGATTTTGATTACACTGTGATTTTAATGGGTCTTCTGTTGTTAATCTATCATTTTAGTCTTATACTGCTTTTATTTTATATTCATACTGCTGGTTTGGATGGTTTTTACAGCTGATTGAGTTGGGTTATTATTGGTATGCTACTGTGATTATTGGTTGATTATTTCTGCCTTTGTTTTTAATGTAGTAAGCTGCCTCCAGTGATGTGGGGTGGAAAATTTTTAATGGAAAGTTTCCCAATGCTATATTTTTCTGTGGAAATTTTTCTGCCCCATGTATATAAATGTAGTCAGTTCATTGTTCATTTATATATAGTTTCCACAGGGCCATTGTCCTACAAATCAATCATGTCCTGCAAATTAATCATGTCCCGCAAATCAATCAGGGCTAAATGGGATAGATGGGATATGAATAGACTTGCCAACCCTGGGTTAGGAACTACCTGGAGATTTGGGGGGTGGAGCCTGAGGAGGCTGGGGTTTGGGGAGGGACTTCGTAGATTCCACCTTCCAAAGTAGCCATTTTCTCCAGGTGAACTGATCTCTATCATCTGGAGATCAGTTTTAGTTCCAGGAGATCTCCAGTCACCACCTGGAGGTGGACATCCCTAAGCATGGACACACCCCAGTGCCTGTACATGGCCCAGGTTTGTGCATGGTGTATTTGTCTTCTTTTGTTAACATGATTTCAATTATTTCTTTAAATTTAAATCAGGAAATTTTCCAGTTCACATTTCCCACAGCACTGGCTGCCTCAAACATTTCCTTCTGGAGAGGCAGCATAGGAGGCCACGAAATAAAGAAGGTTCTGCGGTTCTGGTTAGCCATTTGACACCAAAGATTATATTTTAGTATCGTTTTCTTTTAGTTGGTTATCATAAACTTTTTTTTTGTTTCCTGTTCATTGGCTTCACTCACCTTCTTTCAGTTGCATCAGTATAGACTATTGAAATGTTCTGTATTTTCTGACAAGGGAACTTGGTTAGAGAGACAAAAGAGTTTTGTGCTCCATTCTTCTCTAGACTGTGGCCCAGAATTCTGTGACGGGGGCAATTCAGAATGCTGCCTTGAGGAACACCAGCTGCAGAGGGCTAATGGTGAACACAATAAAAGTAGTTTCAGAGGGTGGCTTTGTTGGTCTGCATTAGAACAACTGGATCTCAGGTCAGGAGCACCTTTAGGGACCAATAAGATTTCCAGGGTATGAGCTTTTGAGAGTCATATCTCTGATGAAGAGAGCTTTGACTCTCAAAAGGTTATACCCTGAAAAACCTGTTGTGCCTCTAAGGTGCTACGGGGCTCAACTCTAGCTGTCCTATGAGAAAAGTAATTCCTTCCATGTGTGTGAGATTCATTTTTAATCTCTCTTAAATATGCAAGCCAGTTTTTACTTGTCTTCTGTGATATTGTTATTCCCTGCCATATTCGCAGGACTGTAATCCCCACCCCACCCCCGGAAGTTTGATTTAGCCATGGGCTAAGAATACCATAACATTATAGCATAAAACCAGTCTGGGTGAAAACCAGAGTATAACGTTTAGAACAGAATTTGCTGTAGGGATCTTATTTTTTCAAACTGTCCCCATAAGAAGCAGTGTGACATGGGAGACTGCAACATAAAGAAGGAACTGACTGATTTGGTACTCTTGCTTAGTACTACAACCTCCCACACCATAATGATCCCCCCCTCCCTTTTTCTTTCTCTTGGCTGAGCTGTCCCTTTTCTTTGTTTTGCTGTCTGTCCCACTCAGTTGTTTAAATGTGTATTTAGATATAAGCCGAGGGAATTGAAGAACCAACAAAAATCCTTCATTTGTGTATGTCTGATAATAGCACTCAAGAGGCTGATGTTAATTCATAACAAACTATTCCACTTCTTTGGGGGAAATGGTCAAGTAGATATCAGGTTTGGAACTTGGCAGGTGAACAGGCAACAGGAATGAGGTAACCAGTTTGGAGTAGTGGTTAGGAGCACAGACTCTAATCTAATCCCCATTCCTCCACATGCACCTGCTGGTGTGACCTTGGGTAAGTCACAAGTTCTTTCAGAGCTGTTCTCTTACGAGCAGTTCTTGAAAGAGCTCTCTCAGCCCCAACTACTTCACAAGGTGTCTGTTGTGGGGAGGGGAATGGAAAGGAGATTGTAAGATGGTCTGAGACTCCTTCCAGCAGTGAAGGGGGGATATAAATCCAATTTCCTCCTCCTCCTCATTCTTCCATAAACAATATATGGTTTATCACAATAAAGTAGCTGTTTTGTTATACAAAAAAGTCTTTAATAAAAGTGTGAACAAAGGTCACTTGTCTTTCACTTTGTAGATAAACAGGCATGTCTCTTTTTAATAAAATTACTAAAGTTTGTGAAGGCAGGAGACACGCACAGGTTTCAGTCTCTCTTCTTTAACACTTGACGAGGATCACCCCCATTTTACCAGGAGCTAGTTCTCTCAGGGAAGGACCACTTTCCCCACTTTCCTATTTCAGGGTCCTTCACTGATCTAACTGCCACTCTCAACTATAGAATTCCATTTGTATCCCCTGTCACTCAAGGTTCTCAGGCCAGAACAAAATATTAACCATTTACTGTCCATTATGACATCAATCCTGAGGATTCCCTTTCATCTTCATTTTGTTGGCATTTGTCTATGTCCCTTGTCCTGTGAGTGTGACCAGCCCATGTCTTCTGTCAAAATTAGGAACTTCTGACCAGTCTTGGTCTGGGAGCAGTTCCAGAGGGTGGGTGTGGACAAAAGAAAAGCAGGAGCAGACCACTTCGTGTCATCTGATTTGAAACTTGAAGGAACACTGGCTAAGTTTACCCTGATATGTACAAGCTGGGAAAAGTGAAGCTTGGTTCCATGGATGACTGTAGAGAAACTGGCCTAGACAGCAGAGGTCTATCTCTGTGACTGTTCTGTTAAGATCCACTCATGGTGCTTTCAGGCACAATACCTTGTCCTACCTTCGTCCTTCCTAACAAAAGAACCCCCAGTGACATCAGGTGATGACTGGCTCTACCTCCACCTCTTCCTCCTTCCCTTTATTTCTGCTTGGAACACTTTTCACTGTAGCCCCACCTCCCAGCCGATCACACCTTCCTTCCACAGTGAGCCTCCCTCTACCTGTTGGAAGGCTTGCTTCTGGCTTCTCCTGAACTTCCTCTGCCTTTCTTCCAGACTGTGAAAATAAAACTTGTCTCTTTCATTCTCTGGCCACTGTATCAAAGAGCTGGTATCATTCAGAATTGTGGTTACCTTCTATCTTGAGTACATACCCTGGATTCTGACTTGCTGGTCATACCCAGTCCTGATCTTGTGCTTTCATCTCGAAATCTCCTTTGGATCATTGCCTGAATTGCTGCCCAGATTCTCACTTGGCTCCCTCGCCAAGAGGTCGATCCTGGAATTCCAGATCTCCAGGTCTACGTATGTGCAAAGTCCACTTCTGTATCAGATACCTGTATCCTTAAAAGTCACCCTAGACTACATCCCCACAGATTAGAGAATAGGTGGTAATATCTTACTCTGCTATCCTTGTCCCTTTTCTCCTCTTCTCTGTCTCATCCTCACAGAATAAACCATCTGTGATTTGTTCCAGCTTCTACTTTCATTTCTACACCTGTCTCAGATTGTACTACCTTTGTTTTAAAGATCCCTCAGAAGTGTGTGTGTGTGTGTCATTTCCCTGAGCTGTATGTTAAAACCTAAGCCTGCAGAAGAGAAGTTTCTGCCTTATGCTTGATTTCCCTAGAGTGAATTTGAATCCAATTAAGAAATGGGCCTCATTCGTACTGACAAGTATATAGTATCTACATGTCTTCCTAAGTGCACACAGTTAACACCCTGGATCATCAAGAGAGGCTTTTCGGAGTGGGGTGTGTGTGTTGACAGAGATCCCCTGTGTGAACTCTGCAGAATTTGTGGTGTTTTATATCTAAGCCATTGTGCTTGACATGGAAATTTAAAAGCATTGGTTAGACTACAGTGAAAATTGAGTATGTGGGATATAATCCAAATGTTCAACTGAGATTTGACCAAATCTTGAACAAAATAGCTATTGTTTGAGTGTCAGCTAAGCAAGCTGCCATGGCTGGTAGAGGGGTGGGTGGGGTGGAGGATGGTATGTTTCATTTTCCCCGACTCGTCTTATTTTATACCCTACACCAGTGACCTTGGTACCTCGCTGCTGCTTTCCCTGAGAATGTAGACCCGTTAGGTTAGGCGGGCTTTGCTTGTTCCCTGATAGGCCTAAATCCATCAGGGGGACCCTTTGAATGATGAATGATGTATAACTCCCCCCTGCACGGGCTTGCAATCAGTTCTAATACAGAATGTATGCACAGAAGACCTGCCTTTATTGTACTCAATAGCCTTTACTCTTCTGAATGAAAGTTGTTGGGAACTGATCGCTGTGGGACTCTGACATTGAGTAACCATCAATTCTTATTTTTTTTGTTATCCGTGGAAGAAAATTAAATTTTGATTATTGATCATGTTGCTATAATGTCTTGAGTTCTGGATCCTAAGATGCTTGGGAGAAAGAGAGGTATATAAATATTTTAAATAAAAATAAACATCAGTGTGATGAAGCTAGATGTGGATATTTTCTGTAATGATTCAGTGAAGAAGTGTGCCCTGCTTCTACAATACCAGAGATACAAAACCTTCTATGGTACACTAGTGGGTACAGATCCTGTGAAGGGTAAATGCTTTTCTTAGTGTGAATCTGATTGGGCTGTGTCACCACTGTATATAGTTGAGCCCACAATATGGAGGTGGAGGGGAACACAGAGATGTTTATTACTAAGGCTTTAATGTAAGCAAAAGTTTTTTCCATACTAGCACTGACGAACTTTAACTCGTGTATATTAGTAATCTGTGGAATCATTCTTACTCATCTGTCTTTCCTTTAAAACAGGACATATCATTCAGGAAAGAAGATTTGTGAAAGCAGATATAAAGGAACATGAGTATGAAGTGGGGAATATTCCAGCAGAATGGGAAGGTAATACAATCTTGGTTCTGCTGTGGAAACATTAAATACATTGATTTATAATTGTACCAAATGTAATAATGAATAGATGCAACAGAACATAGAAGTCTAATTTAGTCAACAGATGTCTTAAAATGGTAGATTTTTTCTAACTTGCCTACGTCACTTTCTTAAAAGCCCTGTTTGCAATCCTATTCTTTGCATCCAGCAACTACAAAAAGGCTCTTGCAAAAAACTAGTGCATCTTGACCCGCTATTTGCAATCTAGATTAAGAGTTTTCACACCCAATTTATCTACTTTTAAATTCTTGTAATACTGGCTGTTAAGGAGGAAGTCATATTTTATTTAGGACTGCATTTGACTAATTCAGTTTTTATTTATCGGCAGTCCTAACTGAGATTTGAAATTGTGGCCTTTTATTTTTTTAATCATTGTTGTTTTATTTACATTGTAAGCTGCCTTGAGTTCCACAAAGTAGAAAGTCAGATAATAAATGTTTTAAATAAATAAATGAATAAAAGTAAATTATTCAAATAGATCACTTGATTTTACAAGGTAAGAGTTGTAACCAAATCCATGACTTCACTAATTATCTATGAAAACTTTGGAGATTGACCTTGATGCACGGTGACCACGGAAGCAAAGGCACCAGCGGAAGGGAGGGGCTGTGCCTTTGTTGCAGAGGAGATGAAGGTATCAGTTTCTGTCTATAAGATCTTTAGTCAATGGATTTCAGATACCAGATGTAAGAAAAGTCCTCTTTCTGCCCAAGACTGTGGAGAGCTTCTATCAGTTAGAGGAGATAATAGTGTCCAATGTTGGTACTGTACCAGTCATCTGATTAGAAAAATAAGGCCGTTTATATTTACTTAAAACTTTTTTCAGATGGTTTTCCGAAGAGGAAGGATGCATTTGCAAATCTAGGCTGTTTATTTGGCTCTCCAGTGTAGAAAATAAACCATGTGCAGCAGCACACTTTTATTAGCTACATTTGCATTTTTAACACAACACTTGCTCATGCTTATAATTACCATAACATTTCCCCCCCCCTTTATGATTATAGTGGCATTGAATTGGAAGGATTTGTGAAGAGCAGGGAAATAAAGAGCATTATGAATAGTCAATAGCAGCTTTCTCTCTTTAAGCAAAGTTCCTTTCAGGGACGGGGAAGAAAATGTTCAGACTGCTTTGTTTCGCCATCCATTATTTGGGTAGAGGAGGTGTGCAGTGTATTCTTGTTTATGACAGATAGAGCAGCGAAAAATGTAGGTGATTCAGTGCTATGAACAACATTAACAAGATTTTTTTTCTTTTTAGTTAACATTTGTACTGCTGAAATGTTTAGTTTAGTAAAAGTGATGGTGGGGGAAATGAAGGCCTTATTCCACTTCAAAAACAAAAAACCACCCAAACCCTAAGGCATTTCTGTAACAAAGGACAAATGGGCTGTGTTAGCATCTATGTAACACCTCTTGATGTTCAAAGCATTTCGCCTACCTACATTAAAAACATTCACAACAGTCCCCAGGTTTTGGAGATCCATGACAGTTCCTCTTCTTGTCTGTTTTGACCCTGTGGGATTTCATCATGTTCTGCTCAGAGAGAGAAAGGTTGGGGATCAAGAGTGCCATCCTAAGTGGAATTACACCCCTTCTGATCCCAGTGAAGTCAATGGGCTTAGAAGAATGTAACTCTGCTTAGGATAATTTCAGTGGGTCTGCAGTAGAACAGCTGGATTCAAGTCCAGTAGCCCTTTAGAGACCCACACAATTTTCGGGCTATGAGCTTTCGAGAGTAAAAACTCCCTTCATCTGCTTAGGGTGTCACTGCTGGAAGGCGAAATATGCCCTTGTGAAGGTCTTATGGGCTTATGCTACAGCTGGTGTGGAGTGCACTGGCTCACTACACCACCAGGGCGACCTACCAGCAATCCCTACTGTGGTCCCAAGTCTCCCCCCCCCCCAATATTCTCTTTGACAAAATTCAGCATGCTGGCTTTGGCTGTCGAAGCTGTGTACAAGATATACTGTCTTCTTCCATTTACCTCCATCGTAACAGTTCATGTGACCCAAGAGTGGCATCTCTGAACCAAAGATAAACTGAGATAGAGATTCTCGACTGCTACTGCTCCCATTTATAGAACTCAACAAGCACAGAGCATTTTTTTGGAGGCAGAATAAAACTTTTATGTGTAGGATGATCAGGAGTAAGGGATTTATGCTAGTTTATTGATGTGTATATTTAATTTGTTCTTAAGTATATGTAGGAGTGATTTATTTAGGGGTTCCCCCCTGCTCTGTTTAATGAATGTAGGTCATGTAACCGTCTATCTTTTCTTCTTTCTAATATGCCCAACCACCCTGTTAGGGTAGATGAAGCTAAGAATGTGTGACTTCTCCACAGGTCTGACTTCTCTCTGCCCCAACTCCTTCCCTCTTCTGTAATTTTCCCTATAAGAATTTCCAGAATGATTTTATCCCCTCACATATCTGAAGAAGTGAGCTGTGGCTCACGAAAACTAATAAATGCTGTTAGTCTTTAATGTACCACTGGACTTCCCCAAGGTCCCTTCTTTCTGGTCTTCCATGCAGATTAGTGGTTTCAGTGTCTTCCATTGTCCAGACTCAACACAACAGAGCAATGTGTTGAGGTGTTGAAAGGGATACATGAAAGAGTTCACTGTTAAGCATCAGTACCACGTGTAGGTAACATCTTCACTCCCTCTGCTAGGGTTCACTTTCAGGAAAGAAAGCAATTTGCTTTGCTAGGGGCATTATCGTATGGATGCAGACAACTGATAACCTTTCTACCATTTTAATTCTAAATGGTTGTCAACTGTATCTCATGACAGAATATGTCATTTGCCTCCTCCGCATGTGTCATTGGTTCCCATGAAAAGGTATCCGTCATTTTCAGCATCTGTGGAGATTTAGGAGGTTACGTGCTTCATGCTGCATTTTACAGCCTGCCTGTTCTAGTCCTTTTTTTTTTTTATGGGTAACATTTAGTGATTAATGTGAGTTTTAATTTGCATGCTCACTTTTACGCTCATTACAATGCGTTATGTGCCAGTAGGAGTCTTAAAGTTCAATGAAAATCTCATGCATACTAATGAGAATGCAAATAAGTGCTGATGAAAGAATGGCAGGGTCTCAAGGTATGAAATGTCCAGTTTATCTTGCTAAATTCTACTCAGACAAATATAGCGTTATCAAGAGCACAGACTGCAGATAGTACCATGCAGTATTTATATAATTAATGACGACTATGTAATTAGACAATTTGAATTGCAAGCCGTCGTGGATTTTTTCAAAAGCTTTGAGAAGAACCTTGCAAAATTGGATTCCATCCATGTATACGTACATTTTCTTTGCCTTTGTCTTGTGCCAAATAAAAACTATTTTGGCTGAGGTTGCATGAAAGAGTTTTTGTATTACCGCGATGGAGCAGTGTAAAGATTTTTCACGAAGCGAGCTGTACCGAATGTATTTTCAAGCCCAAAGGACAAAAGAACATTTTTACTAATGATTAGTACGATTTTGACCTCTTTTTGCTTCAACAGTCTTTTTGTTTTTTTTAAAAAAATTAATCTTACTGGTCCCATTGTCCTGATCGCAGTGGATACTTGAAGAAAGTACTTGTGTAATCATGTAGTGGAATCAGGCATTACTGAGGGAGAACTGAAGGATTTTATAGGTTCACATGGCTTGTGTTTTTTTAACAGAATTGAAGCAGAGACATTGTGAAGGCACTGGAATCAAACCTCTTGTTCTTCCAAAAACATCTTTTTTTTTCAACTCTGCAGAGGCATCTGCTAATGAAAAATAAATAATACTACAAATTCCTGTCGTAAACAGCCAGCCCCACAAGGATGAGAAAAGTCAGAGTGATATTGTTTTTACTATCTTTTATGGTAGCTCAAAGTTAGCTGTATGTGTGTGTGAGAGAGAGGCCAACAACAAATAATTACTCACATTTATCTCTTAAGTTTTGTTTTCAAAGCCATTCTGTGTATGCGTCACTGTTTTGTTTCTGTATGCTACTCACACCACACCTACCATTTTGTGTCCCGTTCATTTTAAAATGAATATAAACCAACAGAAGACTCAGGAGAGCAACAGCAGAAGGAGGGGAAAATGTTTGAGGGAGTATGATGGCTGACAATAGTACTTGTCTGGATGAGAGAGAACCTACGCACTTTTTCTCATGACATTTGTCTGAGAACATCACCAGGATTGCTTGGTTGAGTTCACACTGATCATGGTTATCACTGTCGCTACATCATTAGTAATAACTATGATCAGGCAACAAGGGTCAAGTATGCCAACTGCATGCCAGATCCTGGGAAGACAAAAAGGCTTTTCTTTCTTTTCAACTTGGGAACCTTTTCGCTGTGGAGATTGTCTGCCCACTAGAGCCCAGAAGGGAAGCTTTATCCAGCTGGCACAACCTAGCATTTTGCCTTAATCCTGCGATCACACACAATAAATAATCCATTTTCAATCCACTTTCCAACTGGATTTTACTGTGTGAACTGACAAAAACCAGTTGGAAAGTGCATTGAAAGTGGATTATTTAGTGTCTGTGATTGCAGCCTTCCTTTTCTTTGGATTACCATCATCAGGATCATGATATATAAGGAAGACACACTGACATGTCTTTTTGATCTGTCCTGGTGAGTGCTTTTCCACAACTAGGGCTTGGGTCTGTTTTGGCTAGAGATGTGAAGTTGCAGGAAAACTGTCAGGAAACAAAGCACATTTGTGTGGCAACAGAATTTTAAGACATTTTACCTCTCTTTAGCTGCCAGCCAGAGTGGCTGTACTTTCTATATTCCACGTGGTTGCACTTTTTGTACAAGCACCATGGATACATTCAGCCAACCCCCCCCCCCAACAATTCTCTGAAAAACTTCCTTAAAAGCTAGAGACTAAGCCTATATCCATGACCATGTCGCTACACATTTGCAGTTGATGTGATAAAATCCTCATTATTGGACAAGATGATAACAGATAGCAAAGCTTTGTGAGCTCACCCAGGGGTAGTTTGCGTCTGTGCAGAAGGGTGGGGGTGGGGCTACAAATGCATGCATTTCTGGCAGGGTCAAGAAGTAGTGTTGAAGTTGGTGTAGTTTTCACTTCGATATCAGAAAGAAGAACCAACTGTTGGGGAAAAGAACGAAGGACTAGATCCCCGGGATCCATTTGCCAACAGTGGCACACTGCCCTGGTGTGAGGAGCCTTCCCTTGGGCAAGAGCTGGTTCTCTGCACCAGGTGAAAATTCCATCATGAGCAAAATGAATCCACTCTGGAAGTACATCTCCAGGGAGATGGGATGAGCCAACTGCAAGGGATGGCTCGGAGAATTAATCATTCAAGCTGCCAGTAGGTGCTCATTGCCCAATGTGGAAGCTTCTTTTTGGCAGATAATTGGGATTCTGAAAACACCACTTTTGCTACCTCAAAAGGAAATGTTCTGTCCTGGGACTGTAGAAGTTGTTTGAAAGCATTTTGTGGTGTGCAGTGAAGTCCCAAAGTAGAAACTAAGGAAGTTTTGATAGAGGCTTTTCAAGAAGCACTTCTGTGCCATGCCTAATCCTCTAATGCTTGTCCCAAGAGTGCTGTTTTTCTGCTGCTTTTGGTAGAAGAACTATGTAATTCCATCCCACAGGTCTTTCACTTGTCCATTTGTCTTCTAGCATTCCATTCCTTAAGCCAGCAGTTCCCAGCCGTTTTGATGTAGTGACACACAAGTCCAAACTTACTTGGTATGGTGACCTATCCAAGGTTGGCCCAAGGGTGGTTTTTTTGTTTTTGTTTTTTGGTGCCCTATGCAAACTACGGATGGCCCAGGTTATCCTGATCTCATCAGATCTCGGAAGCTAAGCAGGGTTGACCCTGGTTAGTATTTGGATAGGAGACCACCAAGGAAATCCAGGGTCACCCCACAGAGGCAGGCAATGGCAAACTACCTCTAAACGTCTCTTCCCTTGAAAACCCTGTGGTGTCACCGTAAGTCGGCTGTGGCTTGATGGCACTTTCCACCACCACCAGGCAGACTATGACCTTGGCATCCATCTAGTTCAGCATTCCATTTTCTATGATGGCTAACCAAAAGTTTTTTGAGAAACCCACAAATATCACACAAAGGGCACGGCTTCCCCTACTATGAATCCCAAGCAAGTGGCATTCCAACATACACAGCCTTTGCAGACAGAGGTTACGTTCCAGCCACTGACCACCCTCTCCTTCTCCATTACTCCATCTAATCCCCCCTAAGATTCTAAGCAACTCACTTTACGAATCATCAGGACATGTTTTACTTGATCAACGTCTATATGCAGTGAAGAAAAAACACCAACTAATGTATGATGTAGAAGATACTGTTTCCAAGGTCAGATCTTTGTTTCCAAAATACAAAAGAGAGCAGTGGAAAGGGGCAGGGATGGCCTTTGGGGAGGGCTGGCCTGCAACCCACTTTTGGGTCCTGAGTCTGACCTACGTGTTGGGGAACAGTGCCTTAATTGAACTAGTGGTCTTCAGAAACATGGTGATTGCAATTATGAGGTTGCTCACAGTCTAAAATACTTTAATATCTTTTGCAGCTTGGATTAGAAAAAGGAGAAAGGATCCACCTACCATTGAGGTAAGAGATGAAATACTTTTTGTATCAACCTCAGCTGGATTTCATTTGACTAAGGAGTTCAATCAGAAAGTGGTCTTGAACAGCTTTTATCACTCTGGCTTGAATATATCAGTTACTTTAATTCATGGGTAGAAGTGGGAATCGTACTATTGGGTGGTGCCTGATGAGAAAATTTAGTTGCACTTAAATGGCCTAATGTAATAGGAGACGTGATGAATTCCTTGTTATTAAAAACTATTTAGAAAGGAGCAGATATTCCTGAAATGGCTGTAATGAATATTCTGAAACTAAAGATGCAATAATTTCCTCACCTCTCGGAAGCTGTCATTAAGTTGCAGTCCTCTAAACCAGTTACCAACATATTTACCAGGACAGCAAAACAAATTAGATTAATATTTCACAGAGCTATTGAAATGGCACTTTTCATAGCATTAACATGCTCCCTGTAAACGTATGCTCACCCAGAGAAATAAAACTGAAATAAATGCATCAAAAGAACAGCTTTAACAGGGCATTGGGGAAGCACAGAATCTGTATCCTCAAATCTAGCTAAAACTGCATTTAAGTACATGACGAATACAAATTGTATGTTGGTAAAAATTTCCAGGACAAGCAGATGAGTGGAAGCATCCAGGCCTTTTCCTGTCTCCCCTTTCCAGCTCACTTACCTCCATAGGGAGCCAGTGTGGTATAGTGGTTAGGAGCGGCAGACTGTAATTTGAAGAACCGGGTTTGATCCCCTGCTCCTCTACATGAAGCCAGCTGGGTGGCCTTGGGTCAGTCACAGTTCTCTCAGAGCTCTTTCAGCCCCACCTACCTCACAGGGTGTCTGTTGTGGGGAGAGGAAGGGAAGGCAATTGTAAGTCACTCTGAGACTCCTTCGTGTAGTGAAAAGTGGGGTATAAAAACCAACTTTTCTGCTGCTGCTATGGTTTTTCTTGGAGTAAAGAAGAGGTTGCTTAGGCTACCTGAGGCCCTCCTGGACCAAGAGATAGTAGTCCTGGGATTCTGGGCAAGATTTTTGAGACATTAACCGAACTTTCTCTCCTTGTCCTTTAAAGCTTAGAGAAGCAGCTCGGGATAGCCACGTACCATTTTCTTCCATCCTGGTGAAGGTAGAACTGCCCTTTTCTTGCACAGATATATTTGTAGGGCTTGGAAAGATAGCCAGGATAGCCCCAGAGACCTCTTTTTGGCTGGGGAAAGTACTCTGTGGGTGTGTGCGTGCATGTATGCATACTTAAGCAATTATTAAGTAATGGTTTATTAATCTTTTAACAGAAAACCTATGCAAAATGAATGTCTCTTTTATTTCTTCTTCTTCTCTCTCTCTCTCTCTCTGTGTGTGTGTGTGTGTGTGTGTGTGAGTTTCCCTTTTTCTCCATATTATGCTGAGGGCATAGTATTTTATCTCGAATCGTTCCCTGGATAGATTGATTTGGATCCTGTATTATACGGTTTATGACAACAGTGTTGATGTGGTAAATGCTCTTTGACAGCTACCGAACTGGGGAATTCTTTCAGCTATATTTCTTGTTGCAGTTGTTGTATAGCAAATCTCACCATGTCTCTGTTTCCTCTGAGAAAGGTGTGTGAGTAGAAGACCTGTGCTTTTTTTGAGGTAGAGGGAAGGTATTGAAAATTCAGATTCCCCCCCCCATGCATCTTGCTTCTTGCTGGACCTTCAGTCTGCTGCCTCCCTGCTGTGATGAAGAAAGCACACCAAATGCATGAAAATGCTCTTTTGGGGGAAGGGTTGGGAATGGGTGTTATCCGAAGAGGTGGTCTCCTGATTAATTGGGGAAAGAGCTTAACAGAGAGAAGCGAGATGGGGTAGCTGGGATCTCCACCAATGTTTACAGGGGTTCTTTCCCTTAGAGAACTCTCAAAATAAACCAGTCTAGAGTGCAACTGGAAAGACGTTTATTGAAAAAGAATAAAAGAGCAAAACTCAGGGCTATTTTTGGGCAGGAACGCACAGGAATGGAGTTCCGGCTGGCTCCCAAGTTGGCCACACCCAGCAAGAACTCATTAGCATAACAGGCCACACCCAACAGCAGAAACTCATTAGGATTGGCTACATTAGGGTTGTGTGGCCTAACATGCAAAGGAGTTCCTGCTACAAAAAAGCCCTGGGTTTTGACAACAAACAAGGTAAACAGAATAACAAGCAAAAGGTGGGTGTGGCTGGATAACCACACTTCTGGTAACATGGGGGTGTGGCCTAATGCGCTAATGAGCTGTGCTGTCAGGGGTGTGGCCTAATATGCTAATGAGTTTATGCTGTTGGGTGTGGCCTATTATGCTAATGAGTTCCTACTGGGCTTTTTCTACAAAAAGAGCCCCGCAAAACATACAAGACACATGGGGAACACACAAGCTAACTTAAGAGGAAGATAAAAGGGAAGAGCAAGAGAAAGCAATTCAGGGAAGGTGATAGTTGTCGATCTTGAAAAGTGAGGTCTGTGACAGTGGTGAAATGACCAGCGTTTCATGGAGAGAAAGAGGAGACCCACACATGCAAGTAGGGGTGTATGGAGAATCCAAGACATACAGACACATCAGAGAGAGAGGAGGCCCACATGTAAGTGGGGGTGTTTGGAGAGTCCCATAACACATACACACATCACAATAGAGCAGAGTGCTCACAGTTATAGGGGAAATATTCCTTGGGGCTATGCTGATATGATCGCCCCCAAAACAATATCTTGATTGAATTTTTGGAGATGGACAGAGGTTTGGAAGAACCTTGATGGGGTTTTCCTGAGGTGTAACAAGGTATAAATGTTCCTTGATGACCCGATGATTGCTGGATGGGAAAACTAAGGAGTTTGAAGAATAGGGTTAAGTGTTGCTAATTTGGGGTAAATGGGTCAAGAAGTAAGGCTGGAGTTGATGGGATTTGACCAAGGTGAGGTCATAGCTTCTTAGGAAACCTGTTGTCCTTAATTATGCATTTCCGTGAGGTGGGCAGAGGGTCGTTAGTCAGCCAGCGGAAATGCCTCACCTTCAAAAATAAAGAAATATTTTCCCTGGCTTGTTTCTGGCTTGTCTCTGGCTGAACTCCATTTTGTGTCCCTTTGGGCCAGACAGTGTATATATTTATGATTTTTGAGGTGATATTTGTATGAGGGGTGTTCTTCCTTTCTCTCTGTGTGCACTAAAGTGCCTCTGTGTGGACGAGGGGTCTGACTGCTAACATGGGGGGCTACCCAGTGGCCTAATGGTTGCCTTTTAAGCATTGTTTTTCTCTGTATCCTCCTCTCCATTTCTTTCTCCCTCTGTGAATGCCTCTGGCTATTATTACCAACCATGGAAATGACAACAACAACAATACAGTCCACGGTAAACAATGACCAAGAAAAACCAACAAATAACAACTGTGTACTGACCACCCCACCCAAGAGCAATAGAAAAGAGACTTCAATACAATTCAATGCATGTAATCCATCATAGGACAATACAAAAATACATAATATCCCAAAGGGAAAGAACAAAATCCAGAATAACAATCTCTCATAACCAAATCTGGAATAGATGTCCACAATGAAGTCAGATGTCCAACACTTTTCAACACTTTTCCTAGGTATAAATAGTGTTTCGGACTTCAGGTCCTTCCTCAGGAGCTACAAGCCAATCCTGTAAGTCTCTTAGCAGATTCTTAATAAGTAAACAATCATTCAGGTTTTATGTGGGCCAGGTCTCCTAAATATTTTAGAAAGCACCTGCAAGGGTTGCTACTATGTAAGTTGGACCAAACAGCCTCAGTGTGTGTCTCAAAGTGGACTGTGTATATATATATGTTTTAATATTTTATTTATTAATATATTTATATCCCACGTTTCCTCATGGTGCAAGGCATTTGTATATAATGTATATTGTGTTACATAATACAGTGAAACTTCTTTTATCCATGGCCTATAATCTGTCGTTTCCCCTCCCCCCCAAAAAAACTTTGCCCTTATTTTCTACTATACTTGCTTAATAATTTTCTTCCATTGGCTTGCCCCTCAGTTTTCATAAGACTTATCAGGGTGCTTTTCTGAGTTGGTGCATATTTAGTGTGAGCTTCAGAGAGACATCTCCCCTCTTGCTCACCAATCTTTGGTTGCAGGGGTATTAATGGGAGAGGGTACTGCAGGCGTAATTTCTGGGTTTTTATTCCCTTTCCTACTTGCAAGATTCCTGCTTCACACACACACACACACACACACACACACACACACACACACACACACACACACACCTTTTAGAAGCCCACCTTAAAAGTTGAGACATTCAGAACTTGTCTTTTCTTGCTGTGTTTTCCATAAGACAGCATCTCATGGATTTGAACAGTTATGAGGCCCCTCTCAGTCTTTGCCAAGCTGTATTAATATCAGATATTCTTGGTTCTCTTTATTGCATCAGTCTGTCAGCCTTGTTAAACTTTGCATGTGTATCTGTAATGATATCTAAAGAAAGAGGGGGAGGGTCCTCTCTGGAGTGGAAGAAAAGGGTGTGTGTGGTTTCTCTCCTCCAAATTGTCACTCCCACGAGCCGCTTTCTCCTTTTGGTTTGCAGCTTCCATTTACTCTTGATAAGCGTGTGTTTGAATTGCTGTGGAATGGAAGCAGTTTAGGGTACAGTTTGGAGTGATGAACCTGTGATTAAGACCCCCCACCCCACCCTCAACTTTCATTTCTCTTCTCCAATTACCCCTGTCCATTGTGGCTTTTCTCTTTATAAAGCTAAAGGGGAGGTGGATTGTTCCATTGTTTGTATGGAATATTTAATTGGACCCTGTGTTTCCATCTGTGGTAAGCCAAATGCCATCTAGCAAGTTATATCCTGATGATGATGTGTGTGTGTGTAGGGCTGGAGATGGAGTTTAATAAAAACCCTTGCATTTTAATGTTAATTGGAATACATTTATATGTTCCTTTAGTTAGTGTGGGAAGCCTGAAAATGGCTTGGAGTAGAAAATACGGTAAATAACCACTTTTCATTTCTAATGCATT